CCGGCTGTGTGATCTTGGGGAAGTTACTTAACCTCTCAGCATGGTCTTCAAAGAGCTGTGGAGAAAATTGACTGAGTTCATGCGTGGAAAAGGGCTTGGAATGGCCCCTGGCACTTAGTAAGCACTCCAAAAATAGTATGAAAGAGATGAATTATTTATGAGGTGTGTGTGAGATTTATCATTACCAAAATGTTTTGGAGTAAATGCTGTGACCCTCGCTGTCCACGTTCAGAGTCCTGAAGCTTGGGAGTGAGGAGGCTGAGATCTGAACAAAGACGGTCTCGACTCCCTACTGTTTGCCCTGTGGGAAGCCAGGGTGACGGCGACGGGGTCACCTTCCCCCTGTGAGGAACAAAACCGCTCTTCCCTTGCAGGTTTGCATCTCTATTTACCGAGCTGGAACTGAGGCAGACGGAGCTGGGGATTGCCAGCTTCGGGGCTGCGGTCTCCACCATGGAGGAGGTCTTCATTCAGTAAGCAGGGGTGAAACTGCAGACCCCAAGGGTCCTTACAGTTGGAGGGGTGCTGAGGGTCATGCATCTGAGCCCTATCCAGTGCTTGGCTCCGACTCAGGGCGCCCGCACCCTCGCAGGACGGCCTGCCAGCCTCTGACCAGGACTTCCAGTAATAAGGATACTGCTCAACAGAGAAAGTGGTGAATACAGTATCCCTTTCCAGGAGGCACAACAAACCAAACAGGCATTGTATCACCTGGGATGCTGGTGACTGTGAGTAACAGATGACCCGGGACTCAGCTGGTTTAAACAATGGGGAAGGCTTACCACCTCCAGCTCCGGGATGGGCTATGTGAGTGTCCAGAAGCAGGGAGGCCGCAATGGGGAGCTCTAGATGAGCCACCCCGAAGGCCAAACAAGGCCGGAGAGTGACGATCCAGTCTGGCAATATCTGTTACCTGCAATATGCAGGCTGTTTACAAGTGTTATTAATGATACATTAAAATGCATATTTTATTTTATATTTTCTAGTAGTCTATTTGGCTTTTTCTCTCCTTTTTTGGGTTATTTTTCCTCATTCTATATTTTCCTCCCCCACGCTAGTGGGAAATTCTACGTTCCTACTGTATTACATTAGTGGTCGGCTTGGATATTGAGACACACCTATGTAATTTGTCAAAGTGCCGAGCGAAGGAATATCTTTACTCTGCTCCTGGAAAAATGCTGAGACCTTGGGACACACACACATCACACCATCACCAACGTGTATGTAATGTATATTTTAATTCTCTCTTTTTTCAACTCCACAAAACCGTCTTATTGTTGTTTGAGAACTCCAGTGGTCGCTTAAACTCCTGTGCATATACACCTGTCTCTGGGCTCACTCCTCTTCTCCGATAACTGTCCTCCTGCCCACAGGATGTTCTTCACAGCCCCCGTTTGTGTTCTTATGCAGGAGCCAAACACATTTGTGTTTTTTTTTTGTTTTGGGGGTTTTGGTTTGTTTTTGGTCTGGAAATGATTTTAGTTCCCTAATTTTTGAAGGATATTGTCACCAGATTGAAAGTTGTTTTCCATCAATGTGCTGAAGATTAGATTTCCCAGTCCCCACTCTTGTTTTGCTGAAAGTGAGCTGTAGGTTTACTGCTTGTTCCTATGAAAGAAATCTGGCCACTCTTTGCTTCGGATGTTACACACCTTAACCATGGTGTGTTTCGGTTCGGTTTTCTTTTTAATTATGCTGCTTCACATCTGATGGACTTCCGGCCCCCGATGGAATGCCCTGCCTGAGTCCAGCCGCTGCGCACTCCCACAGTTTCTGCTGCTCAGTGCTCTCTCACCCTAGGGCGGGTATTAGATCTTCTCGTTTTCTGTGCTGAGTCTTCTCTGCTTTTTCACCTTTTCCAGCCCTCTGCCTCCCAGAGCCGCATGCTGGATAATATCCTCTGATACATCATCCAGGTCTCTTCTCTCTTCAGCTGGGTCCTCAGTTCAACACTGCCACTGAGTTCTCTTTAACAATTACGTTTTCATCGAAGTATAAAAGACGTACCAAAAAGCGCACAAATATCGGGCCTACAGCTCGGTTTTATTACTGAGTTCTTACCTATTCTGGATACAAGTCCTTTGTCAGGTACATGTTCTGCCCAGCCTGCAGCTTCCCTCTTCCTATTCTCAGAGCCCACCCTTAGGTCACAAAGTCCTTCTGCTACGTTTTCTTCAGGAACTTGACCATTTTAGTTTCTGCATTAGATCTGTGACCCACCTGGTATTAACTTTTGTGTACAGTGTGATAAGAGGCTGAGGTTCATTTCGTTGCACGTGCGTATCCAGTCATGATGGGACTATTTGGGGGAGAGACTTCCTTCCACACCGAATTGTTTGGACGCCTTCACCAAAAATCAACCGACTGTGTATGTCAATTTCTACATCCCCTACTCTGCTCCACGGAACTAGCTGTCTGTCCCACGCCAGTCCCACGCCACCGTAATTGCTGGCGGTTTGGGGGACGTCTTGAAGTCAGGGAGTAGATGGTTCCTCCAGGTCTATTTTTTGAAGATTGTTTTGGCCTTCCCAGATCGTTTGTGTTAACATGTAAATTTAAATATAAGCTCATCAGTCTCTGTTTTGAAAAAAAGACCTTGCTGGAACACTGGTTCATGGATTACAACAGGTAACCCCAGACGAATGCAAGCTCTTCACAATAGGGAAAACGGGGTGAGCAGGGATAGAATAAATACAAGGGAACTCTGGGCTTTCTGCTCAGTTTTTCTATAAACCTAAAACTGTCTAAACTTATAGTCTGTTTTTTTAACCTGCTGGGAATATGACTGGTACTAAGTTGAGTCTACAGATTAATTTGGGGAGAATGGACATCTTTCAAATATTCATCCTCCCAACCCATAGGTATTACACATAGCTTCGTTTTTTTGGGAGGTCATTTCTAATTTTTATCAGCTGTGTTTTGCAGTTTCCAGAAGTTCTGCATATCTTTTGTGTAACTGACTCTTAAGTATTTCATAGTTTTTGAAGGTAGGGAAATGGATTCCTAAATTTCGTTTCCAATCACTTGTTGCAGGTCTAGAAATCATTTTTGTATTATTTATATCTAGAGATATTATTTGACTCACTTATTAGTTCAAACAGTTTGGGGTTGATTTTCTTTGTGTGTAAATATCACATCGTGTAAAGACAGTTCTACTTCTTATTTTCCAGTCTCTATGCTTATCTCACTAGTAGGGTCTTGAGCATAATGCCGGCTGGAAGTAGAGAGGAGGGATGTCCTCCCCTGGTGAGGGGAATATATAGCAATACAAATTTCCCTCTGAGCTTCGCTTGCCTGCATCTCAGTTTTTTTGGTATATAGTATTTTCATTACCATTCAGTTAGAAAAATGCTTATTTTTCCACAGGGTTTCTGCTCTGACCTGTGGCTTACTTAGAACTGTGTTTCTTAATTTCTAAATTCATGGAGATTTTTTTTTAAATTGTTTTCTTGTTTTATTTTACCTTGTTTGTTTTGTTAATGCACTTGATTTCTGACCTAATTCCACTCTGGTCCTAGTATATACTCTGTATAGCCTCCTTCTTTCAAAATACTTATGTCTGGGGGCGCCTGGGTGGCTCAGTCAGTTAAGCGTCTGCCTTCAGCTCAGGTCATGGTCCCAGGGTCCTGGGATCGAGCCCCGCATTGGGCTCCCTGCTCCACGGGGAGCCTGCTTCTCCCTCTCCCTCTCCCTGCCGCTCTGCATACTTGTGATCCCTCTCTTTCTCTCAAATAAATAAGATCTTTAACCCTCCCCCCCCAAAAATACTTATGTCTGTGGCTCAGCTTATATTCCAACTTTATAAAAGAATGCATTCTTCAGTTGCTGGGCGCAGTCTTTTGCTTACAACAAAAGGTCCAGTTTGTTAATTGTGGCATACAAATCTTTGGTGTCTTTTAAAAAAAAAATTATCGGGGGTGCCTGGGTGGCTCAGTTGGTGAAGCATCCGACTCTAGGTTTCAGCTCAGGTCATGATCTCGGGGTCATGAGACTGAGCCCCGCATTGGGCTCCACACTCAGCATGGAGTCCTCTCGTCCCTCTCCCTCTGCTCTTCACCCCACTCTCTCTCCCACTCTCTCTCTCAAATAAATAAATAAAATCTTAAAAAAAAATAAAAGAAGTGAGGCATTAGGTCCAGCTTACAATCAAGGGGAGGAGATTAGAACAAACAACAAAAGCAAAAACAAGTAGGACTGTATGGAACTAAAATGGTTCTACATAGTGTAGACACCATCCCCCACAATAGAATACTATTCAGCCATTAAAAAGAAGGAAACTCCTAGTATTTGCAACAACACAGATGGACCCTGAGGGCATCATGGTCAATGAAATAAATCAGACAGAGAAAAACAAATACTGTATGATCTCACTTACATGTGGAATCTAAAAATCAAACAGACAAACTCCTAGGAGCAGAGAACAGCTGTGTGGTTGCTGGAGGCAGAGGGTGGGGCTGGGGTGGGGGAATTCGGTGCAGGGGGTCAAAAGGCACAAACTTCCATATATGGCAAGTAAGTTCTGGGGACGTCACGTACAGCATGGTGACTGTGGTCAACAATACTGTATGGTATGTTTGACAGTTTTTAAGAGGGTAAATCTGAAAAGCTTTCACCACAAGGGAAAGCTATTGTAACTCTATGAGGTGGTGGATAGTAGCTGAACTTACTGTGGTGATCATTCCCCAGTATATACATATACCTGAAGTTTACACAGTGGTATATGTCAATTATATCTCAGTAAAACTGGGAGATTAGGACAGACTGTGAACACCAGGAGGTAGAGATTTGGGGGGCCAATTAGATCCCGTCTACCGCATGTGGAACTCTGTACTCTGCAGAAGCAGACCAACCTCCTGCTGTAGAAAACTCCACTCCCCCGAAATTCAGTCTTAATAAAAAACACTCTTATTTTTTTAAATAGAAAATAAAATTCTACTAGCAGAAACCAAATGAGCAAGAAAAATGAAAAAAAATACAACCTTATGCCATGAAATTTCACGAGGCCAAAGAAAATGATGTGCCCCATGATGCCCGACTCTCCCTACACACCCACCTCAGGTACCAGATGTCAGGTACCTCCTGACGAGAGGCACCACAAATCCTGGTAATTGTCACTAATATCCCCCAATGTGTAGAAAAGCTAAAGAAAGGACAAGTAGAAAGCCTGGAAAAGTCAAGGAGAAACCGACGAGAGCAGAAGCAGAGCCTCAGCAAAGGCAGGGAGGGCCTCCGGGGCGCACCTTCTGTGGGAACAAGACCCAGGGCGCTCACTCCGGCCTCGCTCCTCTCACCGTAAATACAGCTGACCCGTATAAGCAGCAAGATTCTACAGAATTGACTGTGTGATTCATAAGGCTAGGTCACAAAAGATACGGTAGCCCTGTACTCGGCGCGCACGCTCTCTCTCTCTCTCTCTCTCAGACCGCTCAGTCTGGGAGGAGCCAGCTACCATCTTGTGTGGATACTCAGGCAGCTCTAGGGAGGAATTGGGGCTCCTTCCAGAGGTATGCTGGAGCTGGCTCATATTGGCTCACGAGAGCCAATTATTAAATTATCAAGAATTGTGTGAGCCAGTTAAACACAGTATTATTAAAAATTAAATTGCATAAGCTTATAAATAAATCACGGCAAAAACGGTGGTATAATTGTGATATCTAATCCAGAATGTGGATTTTTTCCCACATCACCAAGCAGTTAACTCCATCCTGACACTATCTGGAAGATTAGCATCAGATCCCACAGGTTAAGGGCTCAGGCCCGCAAGACTGCCCCCCGACTCTAGACCCCAGTCCCAAGTCCAGGTAGTCACTGTGCTCTTGAGCCACCGGTTATAAACTGGACATTCCCACAACTCCCTCTTCAAGTCATTTGCTAGAACGGCTCACGGAGCTCAGAGAAACACTCTCACAGTTACCAGTTTATTATAAAGGATATGATAGCGGATCCAGATGAACATGTACACAGGGAAAGGGTCCAAAGCGTCCATGCACTCTGAGGGTGCCACGGTCCCCATATCTCCATGCGCTCACCAACCTGGAAACCCTCTGAATCCTGCCCATTTGGGTTTTTATGGAGGCTTCACTGCATACACACAGTTGATGGATTAAATCATTGGTCGCCGGTGCTTAAAACTCAATCTCTAGCCCCTGTCGCCTCCCAGGAGGCTGGGAGGTGGGCCTGAAAGTTCCAACTTTGCCGTGGAATGGATGGTTCTCCTGGCAACCAGCCCCCATCCTCAGGTGCTTTCCCAAAGTCACGTCATTCGCACAACAAAACACACCTTAACCACGGTTACCGCTTAGGAAGTTAGAAGTGTTTGAGGAGCTTGGTGCCAGGACCGGAATGAAGACCAAATATATATTTCTTATTATAAATCACAGTGTCACAAATGGTAACACACAAGACTTCATCTCCTCCTGATCTGGCTACATCCTACAATTATCAGTGCTCTTGAGGTTACTTACATCGACTTACGTCTGTGTGATGGGTGTGTTGTGTCCATAGTTTGAAATCAACCATGGTGAGACTATCTACACTATAGAACTTGGTACACACTATAAATTAGGGTTTAACTTATCATTTTGTTGATTGTCTAGACTTAGAAAGTCATGGAGAAAATGTGGGGTTTTTTTAAATGTTAGTAATGCAAAGTAAGCTTAAAAGTGTCTCATATCTGGAGCCATTTCATTAAGAAGAGCACAAAAACCTGAAGAAATATCTTTCCAGTATTAAAAAAAAAAAGTAGCATTCAACTCAACAACATCGTTGCTCCCCCCAGGGATGAATGAGTGAAGTTCTGACGTTTACCCTGATCATTAATGTTAATTAGAACCAACATTCTTGTCAGAACCACACTCGGAGAGCCAGCTGGTAAACCAGCCATGGGAGGGCACCATCTTGTTAGGGGATCCTCCTGCCCCGGTCGCGCCTTCAGACCACCACAGCCCCGGCCTGTCGCCCGCCGGCAGCCTCCACACACACCCTGAGAGAGTGCCACCCAGCTGAGCCACTCCCGGATTCCTGACCCACAGAACTGTGGGAGAGAATAAACCCTTTGGGTTTTTTCGAGCTGCTAAATTTGGGAGTAATCTGTGCTACAGCCATAGACCCCAACAAACACACCGTCTTGTACTGAACTGTACTAGAGGGAAAATGAGCCATGATTCACTGGACTATTTTGTTGTGACAAATTCCCAGGAGTGGAATAACTGACCCAAAGACTATGAATAAAAATATGTTTCTTGACTTCTTAACAGTTTGTTGCCAGCAATGAAAGCATCTTTTTGCCTAGAGCAGGGGTTTGACCCACTTTTTCTTGGAAGGCTGGAGAGCATACATTCTAGGCTATGTAGACGCAAGGGTATAATCAAGGAGGGTGTGTAATTAGATAACCATCTGACACATAACCATTTAAAAATGTAAAATCCATTCTGAGCTCAGAACCAAACAGAAAACAAGGCCTTGGGCTAGATTTGGCCGGGGCTGTACTTTACCCAGCCCTGGCCCAGAGGGTCAGCAATGCTACCTGTTATAATTGATGATTTTGTTCATAAGATAGGTATTAAGTGATATTTCATTTTTCGTCTTAATTTGCATATGGCATCTTTCAAGGAAAATAATGGAATCTATTCATGCTAACGTTGCCTCTATTTTTTGGAAAAGCCATTGGTCGGCTAATTCAATATTCAGTTAATTCAGTATTTACTCAGGGCCTGCTTAAGACTCTTTAAATCCAAACAAACTGAAGTGAGTTGTGATTTTTGTGAATTTGCATTTCTCTTTGTTTTGGCCTGGTATAGGGTTAACAAGTTGTCAGACACCAGCACAGATATCTAAGCCCTCAAGATCCCCTCGATGCAGTCCCAACAAAGAGTCCCTATCAGCAGGATTAAACGCATTCACTCCAGGATCTTCTCAATACAGTCAGGCCTGCCAATCCAGAGGAACACTGGGGTGAACAAGTATTTCAAATGCATGCAAGAGGGCAGATTTGGGTTCAATTCTTAGAATCACGCTATTCTTCTGCCAAAAAGTGCAGGTCAACCTTTCACAGGGGCTTGAGAAAAAAAATGTGCAGATTTTCAGCATAAAAGACTGGCCCCGCTAGGTTTCAGCAATGCCAGGCTCTCAGCTCTAGTTCAAAGGCAACATCCCAGTGTTTCCTGACCAGGATTAACCCAAAAGAGGAAAGTATCAGAAAAGGTCATGGTAAAGGTCACAGGAAAGGTCTTGGCCCTTCCTCTCACCAATAAGAAGAAAGAATAAAAGTCTACTGGCCACAAAAGCATGTTTAATCCTCCTTTTTCATCTTTCACTGTGAAACAGATCACATATTGGATCACCAGAAGTTTAAGATTTTTTTAAACATGCTTATGAAATATATGGATAACCTATCATGTTCTTTTATTTTTATTTATTTGACAGAGAGAGAGACAGGGAGAAAGGGAACACAAGCAGGGGGAGTGGGAGAGGGAGAAGCAGGCTTCCCGCGGAGCAGGGAGCCCGATGCGGGGCTATCATGTTCTTTTATTGTTAAAAAGAAAAAAATACTGACGTGCATCTTACAAAATGGTCTCGAGTTGGCCATCCACAGGGTGTGACCGTCAAATAGTGAGACTGGATTTTATGGGTTAGGGAAGAGACTGAGTCCAGTGTTTCATAATCTCGAATCACATAGGAAAGGAGAAGCTGTCATCCATGGGGCCTCTGAGTTGGAAAGGGTCCCCGGGTCATCGAGGCCAGCCACCTGCCCTGTACGGGAGGCTCTTCTCCAGACTCTGGCAAGAGGTTCATGTGGGCTCCGCTTGGCCAACCTTTGCTTCTGGAGACCTCCCGGGAAGTATTTCTCGGGGTACCACTTCAGACAAGTTGAGAGCAGTGCCTTTTGAGGAATGCTTCATGGCCTTTGTCACGTCCAACGTGGGAAATGTTGCTTGCTAGAGACTTTCAGGGATTTGTCGGTATTCGGGGCCAGGAATGTAGGAATGACTGACTCACACCTGACCACCAAGCCTCTTCCCACAAAGGCTCTAGGTGGGCGAGTCTTGGCCCCTCTCCCCGCCTTGGCTCCTGCAGCACCGGCAAGAAGTGGTGTGGGAGCCCCGGGTGCTGACCGCCAGCGTCTCCCACCCCAGGCCCACCTACATGTCCTGGTCCTCAGCACCCGTGACCACACCCTTCACGGTTACTGTCCAGGCCGCACGGGACATGTGTGTGCACACCTGCAGGATGCACCACCAGAAGTGGGATTTCTAAGTTAAAAGATTATATGAATATTAAATTAGATTGAATTCCTCCAGCTAATCTGTTTTCTAAGGAAGTTGTACCAAATTAAAACTCCAACAGTGGCATTTTCCCCACATCCTCACCAACTTAAAATTTCTGATAATCTGGTAGGCTAAAAAAAAAGAAAATGGCATCATACTTACATTTGGTATCTGTTTAGACTACTCTTCCAGATCTTTCCAATCTATGGCTTCTTTTTCTGCCATTAAATGTCAGTCAAATCACTAGGTCAAAGAATTTTTACTTGCAGCAAATTCTGAACATCATCAAAATGTTAGGCCCAGTATGAGAAAGTGCAGCTGGGCGTGAGCTGGGGGCCACGCAGCCCTCTGGTGGCTCCTCTCTATGGCCATGCTAACGGGGTGCCCCGTTTCTATTGCAGGTCAGCCGTATATGCCAACAGTTCTATGCCATGTTCCTGAAAAGGGCCACATACTCTTGGCACAACTGGATGCTGATGCTAACAATATAGGTCCTGGCACCTCTGGCGATCACCATCTTCAGCCTTGCCTTCTTCAACTTGGAAACGCGTATGGACAAGGTCCCACTGGAACTGACCCTAAAAACATACGGTCAAACCATTGTCCCATTCTATATTTCTCCCAATTCCAGGCTGGGTCCTCGGCTTTCGGAACATTTTACAAACATGCTTGTGGCTGAGGAGCAGATCCCTCTGGAGACTCTGAGTAAGTCTGAGGCTCCGGGGATAGGGTGTGCTGCAGGCATGCTGCTCCCCGGGGGACGCCCCATCCTTTGGGGCCATGCGGTGCTCCCTAAAATCAGACAAACAGCCAGAAGTCTCAGAAAGACATCTTTAACCCTCCCCCCCCCAGATGACAGGAAAGGGAGGATGCCCAGAAATGAAACCAGGCTGTGTCTTTCTGGGGACTGCAGCATGTGCAAAAATGAAATTAATGAATTATCTGATGTGTTGGACATGCCCTGAGAGGAGATTTACACGTCTATTGAGGGGGTTTGGTGATAGACACAGAGAACACTAAGCAAATGTGAGAAGGAAGGACATGGGGGCACCTGGGTAGCTCAGGTCGAGCGTCTGACTCTTGATTTTGGCTCAGGTCATGATCTCAGGGTCATGAGACTGAGCCCCACGTTGGGCTCTGTGCTGGGTGTGGAGTCTGTTGGAGATTCTCCCTCTCCCTCTGCGCCCCCCCTGCTCACATGCACACACACTCGCGCTCTCTCTCTGTCTCTAAAAAGAAATAAATCTCTAAAAGAAAGAAAGAGAAGGAAGGACATTAACTCTGGCAGGGAGGTTGTACAAAAAAGGAAACACATCGTAACACACCACTTGGTTCAGCTGTGAACTGATTTAACCACCCTTACGATGTGCTCCAGGGGAGGGCTGAGGAAGGGAGACTATAGGGGTTGCGGGTAAGAGAAGAAAGTCCTTGCTTCCCTAAGAGGACATCAATAGGTAAACATGCGATTTAGCAGTCTGGAGAAATGCCAGCTGACCAGTGTGAGAGTGGGTGCCCCCGGGGAGCAGGCACTGGGGTCGGCAGAGGGAAGGCCAGGGCATGGCCATTTGTCATTGCGAGTCTTGCATAATTATCCAGTTTTAAAAGTTATACTGCATGAGTTATTTGGATGAGAAATAAAATTGTACTTGCTTTTTTAAATAAAGTAAAGAGATCAAATGCAGAACATGGTGTGGCAAACGGGGAGAAGGAGAAACCTCGCCTCCTTTGTGAGCGAGGGCCTGCTGAGTGCCCCGCCAGCAGGGTGGTTACCATTGTTGCTGGGATGGGCGGTCCCTTCTAGTGCTAAAGACCGCCAAGTTCCAGGGAGTTCCAGGGAGTTCTAGGTGGGTCCCATGTTTATGTGGTGCTGTGTGACGAACGGTGTCGCTCCCAGCCTGTAGTGAACCCCTCACCCAGAGGTCAGAGGGGAAGTGAAGAAAGTTGCAGGGACAATGGCAGTGCTGCGGGATCGCAGGGTGTAGCTTGGCCTCGGAAGGGGTCAGAGTGGCTGCAGGGTCAGAGCATGAGCTGTGAGCCTGAGCTGACTGGCAGAAGGGGAAGAGAACTGGAGAACGTTCCAGAGCACGAGGACAGCATTTGTAAGCACCGGGAACGGCGGGTCCTCAGGCGTGGCAAGAACCTGGTTTTGAGAGCTGGGTTTGGACGATGACTGAGTGCTACAGACCACATGGGCAGTGAGGGCCACCGGCAGTGGTTCGGTGAGGTGCAGTGCAGCCACACGTGGCCTTCCACGCACACGGGAGGGGCCTGGCAAAGGCGCTGGGGCCCGGGGCCGAGTCAAGGCCCTGGGGAGGGCAGGGCATAGACAGCCGGAAAGATGACTAGACTTTTCTCCTTTTTTCCCCACTGCTTCCATCAACGAAAGGGAGGTTTTAGAGCAGCCCCGGAGCTGTGGGGCCCAGGCAGGAGGCGGCCCTGCAGGGACAGGGGTCACTGGAAGTGAGGGCGCAGCCACGTCTGGAGTAGCCCCCTTTCAGATGGGGCTGGGGTCCAGGGGTGAGGCACGCAGCTCCGGGGCACTCCGCTCTCCCGCAGGCTCGGTGGAGGACCTCCTCCGGCGAAAGGCACAGGAGGAGCCCGAGGGCTTTGATTACAAATACGTCGTGGCGGCTTCCTTTGAAGACTCGGGGAACCACACCATGGTGATGGCGCTCTTCAACAAGGCGTACCACTCCCCTGCCGTGGCGCTGGCGCTCGTGGACAACTTTCTCTTCAAGCTGCTCTCCAGGGCCAGAGCCTCCATCACAGTGGTCAACCACCCTCAACCCCAGTCGGCCCTGGAGGCCTCTGAGGATATCTTGTATCAGTATGTGCAACTGCCCTCCCCCCAGTAGAGCCTCCCCGTCCACATCCACAGCGTGGCTCCCTTGACCACCTGTCGCTTCTTGCTTGCTTCTTGTTGTAAAGACAAATTGTCCCTGTGGAGGACGGCTTCTGTGAGCAGCTCTGCTTAAACCGCCTCCTCCCTCCCTCCCTCTCTTCGTGTCCTGTCACAGGGACCTGAAAGCACACTTTCTCATTATCAACTTGCTTTTCGGAATGGCTTTCCTGTCCAGTTCCTTTTCCATCTTGACAGTCAAGGAGCGATCCACGAAGGCCAAGCACGTCCAGTTTGCCAGTGGCGTTTACGTGGCTACTTTCTGCCTGCTGTGGGACCTAGTCACCTCCCTCGTCCCCAGTCTGCTGCTGCTGGTGAGGGCTGCATGGTGCACGGGGGGCTTGCCGTGGGGACCCCGCAAAGGACCGGAAGCCTGGGCCGGCCACTCACCCAGGACATGACTCCGTCACTGACTCTGGGTAAAAGGTCCAGCACCATTGGGAGCAGAGGGGCCTGCTCTGGGGTCTCCAATCTGTGGCGTGCCCATGACTGCTGCCACAAGCTAGTAAGAGGCTGTGTGCTGGGGATGTTTGTTCACAGCCCGGAAATAGCTCAGTAGGGCCCCGAGGGGGCAACTACTGGATCATGACACTCTGTGCGGGGCGGGTCACGTCCCCCTTTGCTCGACCTGTGTTCTGTAACCGTTGCCGAGCCCCTGACCTCACGGTGCGGACTTACAGGGGCAGAGCCCACTGTGTGCGCGGTCAGAGATGAGGAAGTGCAGGGGGGCACCTGTGCAGCAAATAAGTTTGCTTATTGCTTAAAGTTGGGATCACCGCATCCTTTCTGTAATCCTTAGCATTAACTCTTAGTGACTCTTCCAAATTCTCCCCCCTTTTTCCCAAGGTGGTGTTTCTGTACCACAAGGAAGAAGCTTTTACACACAAGGACAACGTCCCGGCCTTTATCTTGGCGCTTATGCTCTATAGCTGGGCAACCATCCCCTTCATCTACCTGACCAGCTTCTGCTTTCACTATGAAGGCAGTGCTTTTATCAAGCTCATCATCATACTCACCTTCTCGAGCATTGGCTCCCTATCTTAGTCACAAGCGAAAAAGGTGAGGACCGTCCTGTCTACACATATCTTTCATTCTTCCAATCACAGCCATGGAAGGCGTACCCCCGAAAGTTAGGCTGTTCTCAGCAGCTGTCTCCTGAAGAGTCCCAAACCGTGTCCCAAACACACATCTCCAGGAGAGCGGAGAGACGTGGTGGTTATGATCATCCAGTGGGTTATGCTCAGCAACAGACAGGGAACAAAGCACTTAGGGCGCATACACACACACACACACACACAGCCGCATGGATGGACATCTGACCCTGCCGATAGGACGAATCCTGGTGACAGTCAGGAGAGCGGTGGCCTCTGAGTTTGGGAGAGAGGGGCTGACTAAACAGAGACCCCAGGGAACCTCCTTGAGATACTCTGCATCTTGAGCGAGGTGTTGGTTACATGGGTATAAACATTTGTCAAAATTCATCAAATGGTCCACTTACGATCGTGCATTTCATTGAAATAAATTATTCCTCTGTTTTTTAAAAAAGGTAGTGAGTCAGTCAATAAGCCAAGGTTGGGAGAGGGCTGTTTGGTGAGTGTGCAGTTAGGGTCGGAGCACCTGGGCAGCAAGCCGTCATTCATACTGTGCACGCTGACATTGACACCTTCACGTCTGGGCTGCATCTCTCTCTGCATTGGGTTGGATACACACACTCATTTCTACCTCTATAATTCTTTTCTCTATTTACTTGGATGCCAACCACCTCCTTTAAATTGGCATTTGGGTTTTTGTTGTTGTTGTCTCTACCTAAGAATATGTGAATAGCTCCCTGTCTTGTCTTTGTCTTAGGAGCTATTCTGTCTCCTAGAGGACTGGCCACGCGTCGATTCTTAGCCATCTTGATTGGGCATGTTTTACTGGTCTAACGGTCTGCGTTCTTCCTAGTTCTCATGCCTACCAACTATGGAATTTCAGAGATGGAACTGTTTTCATCTGAGCAGATCAGAAAAGCAACAGCGTTTTGATTTTATGACTGGAACAGAACAAAAAGCATGCTGCAGACAGAGGAAAGGGGTTAGCAAAGGCATGTCCTAAGGGAATCCTAACCCCGCAGTCCTCAACTGCACTGTGCATCCGAGATTCATGGGTCAGCATGTCAAGACACACCCCAGGTGATCCCAATGTGGACGGACCAGGAATCACTCTGAGCAATGCTGCCCTTGTCTCCAGAAAGAACCTGAGGATGCCTCCCTTTCTCCTCTCCTCTGCCACCCAACCCCACCCCAGAGAGACAAGCACCCACAAGTCCAAGGACACTGAAGGGCCCTGATATGGGGACAGAGCTCTCTCAGAGAGAATGACCAAGCCAGGGAGCATGGATCTCTGGGCCTTCTCTCTGGATCCCTCGACCTTTCTGGGATCCATTTCTTCTTAGATTGCTTCATGCCCTTTCTTCTCTCCCCTCCTACACGGCAACAACAAGGACCGAGACCCTTCTCCCGCTTTGCAGGAGGCCCCCTCCCACTTAAAAGTCATGGGGGAAGGAGGCTCGGACAAGGCACGAAGCTCTGGTCTGGGGGAAAGCATGCTGGTTCCTGTGTGCACCCCATCCCCACCTCCTGAGGAAGGACACCGTTAGGACACTTTGGCCTCTATACACTCACCCCGAGGGCCTCATTCGGATGCTGTTGTCATGGCAGCACAGAGTCGAGAATATAAAGCTAAATCTGAGCTCTCCTTTCTCTGAGACACCACTAAAATAATAGAAAAGGAAATAAAGATGTATGAATTCATGATGAAGGAGCATCCAAAGTGCATTTGGAGGGGGAAATGGCTGAGCAAGGACCTAAATGAGCACCACAGAATCCTGGAGAGGCTTGGGAGCCAGAAGCTGGGGAGTGAAGGTGGGGCTGATAACAGTGTGTGCCTGTTTCTGCCCCCACGTCCCCTGCAGGAGGCAGAGAACACCCTCCTCTGGATGAACTGAAGTTGCTCTCACACAAGACCTACACATTCTGCCTGGTCTCCTGCCCGAGATGTCGCCCTCCCCCGTGCATAAAGCCAGCGATTGCCTCCCGGCGCCTCTTCTGCTTCTGTGGCTAGTCAGGCAGGGTCAGCGAACACTTGAGGAAAGATAGCAACCACAGAAGAGACAGAAAGCAAAGCGGACCACCAAAAAGGAAACATGGGGAAATGCAGGACACAAAACAACCATTTTGGAAAAGACGGCATCTATTAAACGGTAGAATTTTACAAGGGAAAAAACCCAACTCTGAGAGCAAGAAAGAGCAGACTGCTAGCACAAAACACTTAGCAGAAGGTGTGGGAGATGAAGCCTGTCGACCTCTCGGAAAGTAGAGCAGAAAGACAGGAGGACCAGGGAAGGTGGGGGCGGGCAGGTGCCGGGAGAGGGTCCAGGAGCTGCAGCCCCATCCCCTGAGAAGCACTCCACAAACAGAAAGTTTGGGGAAATCACCAATAAGATCTCCCGGCGTCGCAAACAAACCAAGATCAAGGCTGAAGGGATCCGTGAGACGTCCAAAGCTGAGGGGAGAAGGGTCCAGACCTTAAATCCAGACACTTCCTGGGGGACAAATTCTGGCACCATTCAACTGTCCAGCGAGCGGAAGCATGGAATGAAGGCAAGTCCAGCCACGCCAAGGGAAATGCAACCCTCCGTGTCTCTTTCTCAGGAAGTCAACCGAGACACATGGGCCAGCAAAGTGAAGGAGCAAAGTAACAAAGAAGGCATGGGACCCAGAGAGGAGCAGGTCTGACCCTGGGTGTGGCGGAGAACAGCCACTTTCCGGTGGAGGGTGACTCAGAAGGTTTGTGACCTCACCCCGGCCTTTGAGCAGCTTTGGGGTAGGATCCAGAGAGAAAGAAGGAAGGAAGATAAGTGGGAGCCATGAATATCGGCCTCTTCAATTAGATGTGTCGCTCATGGACACCTTCTTTGATTCTGGTTACAATGACCTGCGGGGAAAGGGGTGGCCCCTCTCAGATTCCAAGCACTTCCCACTTAGGGCCGAGAGACACCACCTGGCTGACTGTTGGTTCCTAGGCCAGGCTCAGGAGCATTGTCTGTTTATGGTTAAGCCTTTCTCTGGATCCCACGCAGGAGCGGCAAGGCTTGTATCCTGGTGCTTACCCCCTGCCCCCTCCACCTCAGCCTCCAGATGAGATTTCCAAATTTAGAGTTCTAAATAGAGCAAATTAGGAGGGCATGACTGGCTGTGCTTCCAACCCAGTCCTATCTACCACCTTCCCAGCCGTCCTGCTGAGTTATGGTCTCAGGCACAGCTCAAGGCCTGGTCACCAGGGCCATGGCCCTCAGGCCTTGCAGCCCAGCTCACAGCTAATGCGTGCGGCCCCAAACTGTGCCTCATGCCCCTCAGCTAGGCCATGACTCTGCAGCCGTTTCTGCGTCCTGCCCCAGGACATGTTGGTTGGGAGACCTCATATCCCAAGTTCAACTCCGTGAGGAGTGGCTCCACTGATGAGAATTTCACAGGTTGGGTACCCAAAAGCTGTACTGCTCTAAATCCAGGTCCTGAGAGTAGAGTTCCTTTCATGTAATTGGTTCAGCCTCTCCCCACGCGATCTGTAAGTCATGTGTCCATGGGCTCCCTCCCCTGAATCACCCATGGGCGTGGAGCTGGTTGTGTGAGCTGTCACAAAGTCTATTATTAGCGCTCCCGTCCCCATCCCTCAGTTTCTCCTTCCTTCCGGTGAGGATGCGCTGGGGCATGGAGGGACAGCAGGCAACAGCCGGGGCAGCAGGGGAGGGCTCAGGGATGCGGTCACGTTACTGGCCTGTGTCCCGTGCCACGCAGTATGAATTCATCCTCTTATGAGCAGCTGATCAGTAGAATATTTCTTTTCCAGAGCATTTGTGTTTATTGTTGTAAATAGACGTTTTTAAAATATTTTAAATATACATGCTTCAATTTCTTGCCAAACAACCCCGTTTGGCGTTTCTTCACTTTGTAATATAACATGAATCTAAAAATTGGCTTCTCTTAACCTCTAAGAGTCCCCAGTTTCTGTATATTTAGTTCATAACCAGCCAATTTACTGACCTTGCTTTTGTGTCTCACAGGACTTTGGCTGATTCTCGTGGCCTTTCCAGGTCTATGGAGGCAGAGAGCATCTGCAAATGACGGCTTTGTCCCCACAAACGATCTAGGCGGGGACTGTGTCCTCCTTAGCTCCCATACGAGGATGCTCAGACACCCCCACAGCTGGCCGCCCAGACCCTGCTGTCTGGCCCAGCTCCCTGGTAAACCTCATCCCCCTCCCACCTCTCAGTTCGCCCCTTCCACAGATGAATCCCATGTGGCAGCCATGCTCTTGCTGGTTTTTCCCAAACACAGCTCTTTGGGATTCATCTGCACAAGCGATTGGAATGGAAGTGAAATGGCAAGCTCGGGAAATATGGCCCAAAGGAAAGTGTGTACAGCGTGGAGGTTGAATGACCACCGAGGTCTTTGGGCCCGGGCCCGGGACAGTGATGCGTGCCGCAGGCTGTGCCCTTTTCTGCCTGTAAGTGAGTCAGTACTTTCTATCCCCTTCGCAGAGATGGGCTACACAATGGTGTTGGACTCCTTGGACCGCATGTTCCTACTGCTGCCAGGCCACTGCCTGGGAATGGCCCTCTTCAACTTATACTACAAATACGGAATCCAGAAGTTATGCAAAACCAGGAACCTGGACCACTGGGAGTGTAATCAAATTTGTGAGTACTGCACGTGGAAATTTTCCCTTTGACAGGATACAACTCAGTGGGTTTGGGTATGTTCACAAGGTTGTATGAGCATCACCATGATTCAATTCCAGAACATTTCCATCACCCCAAAAAGAAGCATGGTCCATTCACACGGTCTTTCCCCCGTTGCCTCTCCCCCAGCCCCTGGCAACCACTAAGCCTTCTCTCTCCGTCTGTGGACTTGCCTGTTCTGGTCCTTCGTGTCCGCCTTCTCTCGTTCAGCATCGTGTTTTCAAGGATCAACCACGTTGGAGAGGGTGTCACAGCCTCGTTCCCTTTTCATGGCTGAATCATATTCCATTGTCTGGATGGACCACAATTTGTTCATTGGGTGATGTTCATGCAGGTTGTTCCCACCTGTTGGTAGTTATGAATAATGCTGCTGCGAGATTCATGTACAAGTTCTTGTGTGAATGTGTTTTCAGTTCTCTCGACTACATACCTAGGAATGAATTTGTGTTTAGCTTTTCGAGGAACCACCAGACTGTTTTCCACAGCGGCTGCACCATTTTACATTTTGCCTGCGATGTATGAGGGTTCCAATTTGTCCACATTCTCTCTGACACCTTTAAAAAAAAATTTTTTTTTTTGAGAGAAAGAGACAGAGCAAGCAGGGGGAGGGTCAGAGGGAGAGAACCTCAAGCAGACTCCCTGCTGAGCGTGGAGCCCGACGCGGGGCTCCATCCCATGACACCAAGATCACGACCTGAGCCAAAACCCAAAGTCGGATGCTCAACCGCCTGAGTCACCCAGACGCCCCTAGATTATTCATTTTTTTAAGTTGTGGTAAAATGTATATGAAGTTTACCATTTTAACCATTTTTGAGTATACCGGTCAGTCGCATTAAGCACAATCACACTGTTGAACCACCACCTCCAGAACCATTTTCATCTTGCAAAACCAAAACAGTCCCTGTGAAACCCCAACTCCCCATCCACCAGCCCCTGGCACCCACCACCTCCCACGCCGTGTCTGTGAATTCTGCTCCTCTAGGGACCCCACATGAAACTGCCTAAGGCCTTTCTCATTTCCTTTTATAATCATCCATGAATTTACCTTTGCCAGAGACCTTTATTATTCTGATCTGTATGTCCCGGAACAGTCACTGTCTGTTATAGATTAAATGAAACTGGCAAATTGGAAAAAATAATGCATAGTATCACTCCGTTTATATCGTAAAAGCTCGTGTCTGGAAAGGGTAGAAGGGTTACACACAAACCCTAACAATAGTTTGGGGGAGTGGAGGGGTCCCTCTCACATGTTCCTTTTTTCTTTTTTTTTTTTTTTTAAAGGAAGTTGAGGACTTTTTTTTTTTAATTTTATTTATTTATTTATTTGAGAGAGAGAGAGAGCACATGAGAGGGGGAAGGGTCAGAGGGAGAAGCAGACTCCCTGCTGAGCAGGGAGCCTGATGCGGGACTTGATCCTGAGACTCCAGGATCATGACCTGAGCAGAAAGCAGTCGCTTAACCAACTGAGCCACCCAGGCACCCTCACATGTTCCTTTTTTCTGACGAGTGTGTATTTATGGTATAATTTTCAAATACATGTATTTAAAGGTAAATTGTGAAAGCAAATGAGATTACAGAGGGGGCTAGAGGCTTCCAGATGTTTCGACAGGACTGGTCAGCTGAAGCTGCAGGTGACTGACAAATGATCAAAGAACCAAACATGTAAATATCTTTCCAACCACTGTCATAGAACAGGGTGAGGTCCTTGACCTCAATGCATTAGTTGTACAGCGTAGCAAGAGAAACAAAATACTGTTCATGTTTACCACCTGCTGGGACGTGGGAACAGCACTGATGACACTCATGTGTGGTTTCAACCGCATTTGCTAAGGGAGGAAAGACTGGGAAGCCAGCCCTCCAGCTGGTAACACGTACTTCTTCCCTGTTAGCAGAGGGATACACAGTCCAGGAGAGCGTCTACGCCTGGGAGTCTCTCGGGACAGGGAAGTATCTGACGGCCCTGGTCATCTCGGGGTTTGTGTACCTCATCCTGCTCTTCCTCGTTGAAACCAACGTCTTGTGGGAGCTGAAAGCCGGGTTTTCTGACTTCAACAGGAAGCGACAAGTGGTGAGCGGGGTCAGCGTGTAACTCTGGAAGCCCGGGTCAATGGGCTGGCTCCACAGTCCGTGGTCGAGAGTGGCTTTGACTGTCAGCATCTGAGGGAGCCTGGAAACCCTCTCATCCACCCCCATGGCAGAGGGGTGACAGCCCGTGCCAGGGGAGGGGATGGGGGGGTGGGCAGAGATCTGGAGGGACAGGGACGCAGAGGACTGGCCTGGCTCCTGTGACCCTGGTCGGCTGAATAGGAACAAGACCCTGGATTTCCTAAGACCACTCACCTTTCTGGAACACCTCTTCCCCCCCACCCCCACCCAGTCAGCCAGGAGGAGCCCCGAAGAAGAGTCTGTTCTGTCAGCTCTTGGGAAGATTCATTTGTTTTGCCTTGATAGCCCAGGCTTCAGGTCTTTTAATTTTCCTCAAAAGCCAATACCAAGTGACGTTTCCAGGTCCTTGGGACCCTGGTTGCCCCTGAGAAAGGGGTGGTGGTGTGTGCGTGAGCCCCACGCACCCTCGGCCTCCTCCCCCACCCTCGCACTAGCAGGGACTCCCACCTCCCACCCTTGCCTCCGGAAAGCAGGTGTTGATGCACAGTGTAGCGTCAGTGCCCGTAGATCAAGATGTGGTGCAGGAGGCAAAGGTCGTGGAGATTTACTTGGAAAAGCTGCGTGAGGAGAACCCACTGGTTCTTAGAGAAGTGTCAAAGGTAAAGTCAGACGTGCCTGAAAAAGCAAAGACCACCCCCGGTGGCCCTTTCGTAAGGAAGCACTCCCCTGCTTGAACGGTGAAGGAGATCTTGTTCACAGCCAGCAGGGGCACTGTCTCTGCATAGACCTGAGATGCCCAAGACAGAAGGCGTGCCGTGAGGTGGCTGGGGGCCGGCAGCCTAGAGCCGCCCCACATCTGTCACACCATCCTGGGTCAGGTGCCGGCTGTCGTCAGGCCCAGGGGCTTGGAGGGGCCAGGTTTCCTTTCCCTCCCAGCAGGGTTAGGGGGTTTGCTCTCCTCCTTCTGTCCCTACAAATGGAGAGCCTGGTTCTCCAGGATTAGCCTCTTCCCTTCAGTCCTCCAAGCAAATAAACCCCCTTGATGTTGCCTGAGTTGTCTGTTGGTTGGTTTGTTTGAACCACCAGTGACTCTAGGGAAACAAAGAATAAGAACTTACAAACTGGGGGAAAATGTTACAGAGGTCCTGGATGTTTGAAGGGTCTCTCCATAAAATTCTGGCTGGAGCTCTGCAGCTGGCTAACCAGGCTTGGTTTGAGCTGTCGGAGCCTCTCCCCATCCCCCCACCAGGAACTCCCTGGAAAATTGCCTTCTAGATCCTGGAGAAGGTCAGCCAGTCGTGTCCAACCCCGAGGCTTCCTGCCTCTTGGGGTTTGTGGCTCTGGCCCTCCTGCCTTACAGGGGACTCCCGGAGAGGTGCCAGAGGGTTCAGGCCCTAACTCCTACCCTCGGGCACTTTGGGAGCAAACAGCCCTGGATGTGATTCGTTCACAGAGGAAAGCTCCCCGCCTGTGTGTCTCCACGGTAGCTCAACCCAGTCGAGTGGGGCCCGGAGAGCCAGCAGGCAGCGCTGGGAGCCCCCTGGCGGCTGCTTCCTTACGAAAGGGCCACCGGGGGTGGTCTTTGCTTTTTCAGGCACGTCTGACTTTACCTTTGACACTTCTCTAAGAACCAGTGGGTTCTCCTCACGCAGCTTTTCCAAGTAAATCTCCACGACCTTTGCCTCCTGCACCACATCTTGATCTACGGGCACTGACGCTACACTGTGCATCGACACCTGCTTTCCGGAGGCAAGGGTGGGAGGTGGGAGTCCCTGCTAGTGCGAGGGTGGGGGAGGAGGCCGAGGGTGCGTGGGGCTCACGCACACACCACCACCCCTTCTTGGCATCAACGGAGCCGGGAAAACGTCCATCTTCAAAATGCTGACTGGGGAAGAGCCCATCACCTCTGGGGATGCCTTTGTCAGGGGCCTCAGCATCCGCTCTCACCTGAGGGAGGTAGGCTGTGACCTGGGACGAGGGGGCAGCACTTGGGAAGGGGTAGCTGTTGGGAGGAGGGGATGTGGAAACGCACCTGGCGGTGTGATGCAGGCCTGGGGTGCGCTTGGTCTTTGGAAACCCCGCCTATCAGGTTTATACATGACTCCCAGCCCCATGGCCCTCCCCACCCACGATCTTCAGTGTCCAGTGCTCACAGCCCTGGATGTCCCTCCCACACCCTCCCAGGTCCTAGGTCCAGTCTCCCAGCCGCTCCCACTGCACTCATGCCAAGGTTCCTGGGGACACCCGGCTTGCCTTCCTTGCCCTCGGCAGGGCATCTCATAATGCAGACCCACCTCCTATGAGCTGCGGCCTTCCCCTCTCCTCCGGCTCTTCCCACCTTGACCCTTCTGTCCCAGACGCCTGCGGAGGGTGTTCTTTGCCTGCCCACTAGGCCATGGCACTCCTCAGGGCTGCAACACCAGCCCTCTGTCCCTCTCGCTCTACAGGGGCCGCCCCCGCCTGAGCTCAGTGGTTACTCTGTCCCCGTCTTCTGCTCGCTGAGGGCGCCCACCCAGCCTCGTCTGCAGCCCGGCCCCAGTCGTGTGTGTGTGTGTGTGTGTGTGTGTGTGCGTGTGTGTGTGTGTGTGTGCGCGCGCGCGCGCGCGCGCATGTGCGCCTCCTAGACAGCCTTGCTCAGACGTCTCCCTGTTGACACCCGAGCTTCTCATAAGCTCCTCAAACCTGACCCTCTTCATGGGGTCTCCACCTCAGCTACTGGCACCAATTCGATGAACGCCCGGTAGACGCCAATGCTTGTGCCGGCCCAGTGGCCCTTGACAGCATGGAGAGTGACAGGGCGGTCAGTGGTGTGGTGTCGGCACCTGGTGGAGCCAGTGAAAGGCGCAGGGAGAGACCAAACCACGGCAGCATAATGGAGGGTATACTCTTCACAGCACAAGCCATCTAGTCGCCAAAAGTTTATCAAACCAGCTTCAGTGTCCATGACAGAGATCGCGTTCAGAGAGAAAGCAGAAGAACCCACGCAAGCCTGTTCTGGAATCTTTAGCCCCTTTGTGTTTGGTGCCCACAGCGGGGGTGAACAGCCGTAGCCAACATAAGCCTCTCACGGCCGCGAGACACTTACGACTCATTTTAACTCTTTTCCTATTGTACCAATTACAGGGGAGGCTTCTGGTAATGGCAAATTGCGTGACTCTGACCCCCTTCCTGGCAAGAACTGTAATAACAGGACCAAATTTTAAAAACATCTCCAGAGAGCCTCCTGAGAAGATAGTGAAGACTTATGAGGCAGGAGGTAGGACAGGGAGAGAACCAGGGAGGCAACCACGTTCGGTCAGGGTGGCTGGGAGCCCAGGGTTGCTCCTGATGCTGAAGTGACAGGCACTGAGGTGAGTGCCTCCTTTCTTAGAGTGAGGACCCTGAAGGGCTGCGCCCTGGGTGCAGGGATGAGCCACATGTAGACAAGCTCATCCAAGGACCACAAAAGGACCTGGACTCATGTCAGTCCCTGAAACAGGGCTGACAGGACCCTAAGCCACCAATGCTCCCAGGCACCTGGTGGGAGCCAATGTCAACCTCTGGGGAAAGATGATACCATCCTTGGCTACAAACAATTTCGCAAATGCAATGCTTGGTACACAAGAAAATTAACCAGATATATGTGCATAAAAGACAAAGCCCCCCTTCAAAAAAAGTAAGAACGAAGCCTGGAGAGTCAAAAGGGCAGAAGTTATCCAAGAGAAGGTAAGAATGTTGGGCAGACCTTCGAGAACACCCTGAGGGGTCCCTGTCCTGGCGCTCCCACCCCCTGAGCAGCCCCTCCCATGCTGGACCAGGGTTGGTCCGGGTGGCAGCAAAATTTGCAAGAGATGGTATGTCACGTCCAAGACTGGGTTACCGAAGACACTACAGCTTCTGCGTGGGGTACACCCTCTCCCGCATATCCCTCACAGTGGGGGAAGCTAACTGCACATCCTGATGGTGCTCACACAGCCCATGGAGGGGCCCACGTGGTGTGGAGCAGCGTGGGAATCCTGAGACCTGCCCACAGCTACGTGAACGAGCTCTGCAGCAGATCCTCCAGGCTCCCAGGGACGCGGGCTTGGCGGGGAGGCCAAGAGCCACCTCATGATGGAGCCTGCCCAGGACCGCCCAGCCAAGCTGTCCCCAGATCCATGAGCTGAGCTTCAGAAGCCATGAAATAATGAGCAAACCACGGCTAAGTTTTGGAGTAACTCGTTATGTGGCAATATATGACAAGCTGATACAAAGGATCTGGTGAAAAGTTTTCACAGACACATAATTGAAGTCCCAGAAGGAAAGGATGCAAACAGGATGCAAAGTGGAATTTGAAAAATTAATGTCTATGACTTATCCAAAATTTATGAAAGACATCGAATTACAAATAAATAAATCCCTATCAGCCCTAAGCAGGAGAAATTACTAGAAATAAATCCCTAAGAACATTATAATAAATCTGCTGGAAAATAAACACAGGAAGAAAATCTTGCAGGGACCCACTTTCAGAAGAGCAACAATCAGACTGGCAGGTGACGTCTTAACAGAAATGACAGTGCCCAGAAGACAACAGGACGACACCCCAGAAATGATGGAGGCACTAACAACCAGCCTACAATAATACACTCAGTAAAGTCACGCTGTAAAATGAAGGTATGAAAAGAAGACATTTTTGGGGCACCTGGGTGGCTCAGTCGGTTAGGTGACTGCCTTCAGCTCAGGTCATGATCCTGGAGTCCCAGAATCGAGTCCCGCATTGGGCTCCCTGCTCAGCAGGGAACCTGCTTCTCCCTCTGACCCTCCCCCCTCTTGTGCACTCACTCTCTCTCTCACTCTGTCAAATAAATAAATAAAATCTTAAAAAAAAAGACATTTTCACATAAACACTGACAGAACTGATCACCAGCACACGTGTGCCAAAAAAAATTAAAAATCACAGAGCCATCTTTAGGCAGAGGGAAAATGATCCCTAAAGGAAGTTCAAAGACGCAGAAAAGATTGAAAAGTGATTTAAAAAAAGGGGGGGGAAATGTATGAGTTTTGATTAAATGAAGCTATAAGAATAATAATGTCTTCTGAAGTTCAAAATATGTACACAGTGACGGTAGATGACGGTGATGGCTGTGGAGGGGGGGACGATAAGCCACTATGGGGCACAGGAAGAAAACGAGAACGATCACATGACTGGGGACAAGCAGGCACACGCAGGAGGAGCCCAGAGCACACGGGACAAGCAGCCCTGAAGAAGCTGGTGCATGGAATCCTGATACATCAGCGAGTTCATTCAGCAGAAACGGACTGAGGACCCCAGTGGAAAGACTGTCGGGGAGATACTCATCAGCTGAAACATCCAGTTAGCACACGGCCCAGCAAGTCCACTCACTGGTATGTGCCCAAGAGAAATGAAAACCTACGTCCACACAGCAGCTTGTACACGGACGTTCACAGCAACGGGATTCACAACTCCAGTGTCAGTGGGTGAGTGGATACGCAAAACGTGATCTATCCATACAGTGGAGTAACATTCAGCCACATAAAGGAATGAAGCACGGACGCCTGCTGCAACACTTGATGCTCAGTGACAGAAGCCACTTACGGAAGGCCATGTATCAGGGGCACCTGGCTGGCTCAGTGGGAGGGGCATGTGCTCCTGATCTCGGGGTCGGGAGTTCAAGCCCCATGTTGCGTGTAGACATTACTTAAATAAGTTTCTTAAAAAGACTTTATTTATTTATTTGAGAGAGAAAAAGAGAGAGTGCAAACGGGGAGGGGCAGAGGGGGAGGGAGAAGCAGACTCCCCACTGAGCGTGGAGCCTGACGTGGGACTCGATCCCACAACCCTGAGATGACGACCTGAGCGGAAACCAAGAGTCAGATGCTCAACTGAGTCACCCATGCACCTCTTTTAAATTTTTTAAAATATTTATTTAAGGTATGCCTGGGTGGCTCAGCCAGTGAAGCATCTGCCTTTGGCTCAGGTCATGATCTCAGGGTCCTGGGATCGAGCCCCACATTGGGCTCCCTGCTCCGTGGGGAGTCTGCTTGGGATTCTCTCCCTCTGCCTGCCACTTGCTCTTGCTCTACCGCTCTCTCTCTCTAAAATAAATAAATCTTTAAAAACAAATTTTTTTAAAAGGCCATTATATGATTTGCCTTATGTCAAATGTCAGACCAAGCAAATGTATAGACAGTAGGTAGATTAGTGGTTGCCAGGGGCTGAGGGTATTAGAAGCAATGGGGAGTGAGTGCTAATGGATATGGGGTTTCTTTGGGGGAGATGAAATGCTCTAAACCTGATTGTGATGATAAACGCACCCCTCTGAGTATGCTAAAAACCACCCAACTGTACACATTCAATGGGTGAATGTGGTGAACGGGTGAATTCCATGGTATGTGAATTGTGTGTCTCAATAAAGCTGCTATAAAAGGCAAGGAACAGGGGCACCTGAGTGGCTCAGTTAAGTGTCCAACTCTTGGTTTTGGCTCCAGTCATGATCTCAACATTGAGGGATCAAGCCCCATGTCAGGCTCTGCACTCAGCACCAAGTCAGCTTGGGATTCTCTCCCTCTCCCGACTCACGCACACATTCTTTCTCGCTCTCAAATAAATAAAATCTTTTTTAAAAGGAGGGGGGTGAGAAACAAAGAAACAAACGAAGAAAGGAAGGGAGAAGAGAAAGGGCAGCGGCTGGTCCTCGGCAGATCCCAAACCCGGTCTTACTGTCACCAGCCCTCCAGCCCATAGACCTTTCCTGAAGCTCATGCAGAAGGAAGAACGAATGTGTTCCATAAACTCAGGTGACTAGAAATGTTACATCTCTTTGTGTTAATTAAAATCAAGTGACATCTGCCAGGAAATCGGATTTCAGTCTCCACACAACCCTTCTGCACATCACCTCCTGGCAGAGTGTGACCTTGCCATTAGAAATGTGGGCTTTAAGTCTAGTTAAGCCTGCCCCTCCATCCCTCCACTTCCTCCTGGGAATCTTGCACGGATTCATCTCGTCAGCAAACTCCTTGCTCTCCCCGCCGTGTGAGCCTGCTGCTCACCGCCCTTTAGATAGACAAGTCCTTTCAAGCATTCTTAATATATCTAAGATATATTCTTAGCCGGATGCACTGGTGTTCTAAGCCACGGCTGTGACACATGTTTCCATGAGCCCCGCTCACCGCCCCAGAATTATGTGGTTCCACTGAGGGGTTGTCCTAGGCCCACGGCACCACCGAGTGCTGAACAGGGCTCTGTGGCCGCCCCAGCCAAGCCCCAGTGTACTGTGGGCTCACATGTGCAAGAACATCACATTCCTTCATTTTCTTTAAATCACATTACGTTTTCAAGCCTTCTACCCCAAAACTGTTTCAAGAGATAGAAAACCTGTATAGACCCAAACCAGAGGTAAACTGAAATAAAGGTCAAAGATCTGTGCCTTCTTGGGACGCCTGGATGGCTCGGTTGATTAAGCATTTGCCTTCGGCTCAGGTTGTGATCTCAGGGTCCTGGGTAGAACCCCACGTCGGGCTCTCTGCTCAGGGGGGAACCCGCTTCTCCCTCTCCCTCTGCTCCTCCTCTCCCCTTTTCGCAAATAAAATCTTTAAAAATAAAAAAAAAGCAAAAAAACAAAAGCAACCCTCCATCCTGCTCAGGACTCTAAAACAATTTTCAGCGAACTAGAAATAGGAATAAAATCAGGTTAAAATCACCCGATGAAGGTGACCTACCAGAAATCTTCGTATCTCATAGTGAGACGCTTGACACGTCTTGGTTCAAGTCTGCTCTTCCTGCCGGCACGTTGCTCCTGGTGGCAGGTGTCTTTGGGGGAAGCCCCACCCTCCGCTGTGTGATGTTCCGGGTGCGTTCCCCCCTCGTTCACTCCATCCAGGCGGTTTTCCTGTCTGCGTCCATCAGAGCAGCGCACCCCACCCCTGCCAGGGGCACCTAGAGCAGCCCTTCGCTTCAGTGGGGAGACGGATGGGAAGAAGAGCATTGATTATTTCTCAAGAATGGCGTCCCACCACTTTCATCATCTACTCCAGGAGAGCCCCTGATCAGGGGCACAAACTAGGGCAGTTTACTGCAAGTTTATAAAGGCAAAAACTTGAAAATAACTCACGTGTGCCTGGGTGTTTTATAAGCAGCTAAATAAAATCTAGAAGCCTTTCCCAAACGACTAAGTAGCAGTTAAACTGAGTCGGAGTAGACCTATATTTTTTGACCAAGAAAAATCCTTAAGATATAATGTTGAGGGGTGCCTGGGTGGCTCGGTTGGGTGGGCTCGGTTGGGCAGGGAGTTGCTGGGCACTGAGGTTTCATGCCAGGCAGGCGGAAGGAAGGGCCCTGCGTGTCTGCGCATAGACAGCGGCGGCAAGCACTGCATCCGGGCTCCCTAACGCCACTGTCGTCCCACTCCCCCCTCCCCCCACGTGGCACACGTCCGTCCACGTGGCAAACACACAAGGCAGAGCAGGAGCCTGGGCAGGGGCCATGCCAGGGCAGGGGTGCAGGCCTGGACGCAGCTGGCGGCTTGCCTTCTGACGTGCCTCCCTCTTGGACTGCCTTCCAACCCCAGGTGCGGCAGTGGGTGGGCTACTGCCCCCAGTTTGACACCCTGTTCAACCACATGACAGGCCGGGAGACGCTGGTGGTATACGCCCGGATCCGGGGCATCCCTGAGAGCCACATCAGCGCCTGCGTGGAGCAGATTCTTGACAGCTTACTCATGTACGCGTACGTGGACAAGCTGGTGAAGACCTACAGGTGAGACTTTCCACCTTCACTGATGAGAAGTGCCCTGGCACTCCTCAGTGCAGGGAGTGCAGGCGGCGAACGTCAGCTCTGGGTTTGGGGTCACTGCGCAGTCCATATGTCACTGTGTGGATTTGTGGGAGGTGGCCCCCTCCTGTGGACGAACGGGTCCGTGGCCCGTGCTGCCCAGAGGCACTGCTTCCACTAGGCCCCGGGCAGGTAGGGGACTAAGGACAAGCAGGTAGCCTCACAGGTGTTATTGTCCTGCGCGTCGCAAAGGGCGGATTTTTGGTAGGCTCGTGTTTCAAGTGCGTTACCTTATCTCGCTGCGTCTGGGGCATCTGAACTGCTGATGTCTGGCTGCGAGGCTGGGCGTCTTCCTCTGTCCTCTGTGCTGCTGATAAGGGCCAGTCTCGTTAGCTTACACAGCAGGGCCAGTCCCAGGACTCCCTCGGGGGTGTGTGCAGCTCCCCCTGGAGGATGCTGGCACTATCCCACTCCTAGGACCAAGGAGTCAGAGATGCCCAGGCGGTAGGTGACTGCTGACCTTGGCTCTTCCCTCCCTGTTGGCTTTGGTTTCAGGCAGGTTTTTGTACTTCCTCGCATCCTTTCAAGATTAAATGAGTTAACACTTGCAAAGTTTAGAACAGCCCCGCGCACATTGTAAATGCTATGTGTTCATTCAAGAAAAGTTAGCTAAAATGGCTCTCTGTCCTTACAGCCCTAGAGACCGTAGAGACCCTCAAAGAAGACTCATAGACCACGTTCCAACCCTGGACTGACCCCTCTATCCACAGCCATGATCTATACACTGAGTGGACAGTCAAGTCACAATGCAACCTCATAGGAGGGTGGTGGGCATATTACTACAGCCCCACTCGGGCTGTGGGACACTTCCTCAACAGAGAACAGAAAGCCTTCGTGTGTGTGTGTGTGTGTGTGTGTGTAGGGGGGTTGGGCTACTGCTGATTATTAATTGCCTTTCACCCCAACCTTTCCCCCCCTGCTCCCAGTGGTGGCAACAAGCGGAAGCTGAGCACAGGGATCGCCCTGCTTGGAGAGCCTTCGGTCATCTCCCTGGATGAGCCATCCACTGGCATGGACCCCGTGGCCCCGCACCTGCTCTGGGACACTGTGGCACGGGCCCGAGAGTCCGGCAAGGCCATCATCATCACCTCCCACAGGTAGAGCCGGGGTCTTGGGGGGTCAGTGGAAGAGCCAGGACGAGGGCTGGCCGGGTGGGGCCGGGTGGACAGAAGACCTGTCAGCAGCTAGCTCAGACTCTGTGAGGAAAGTCGCCAGCTAGCCATGTGGGCCACCCTCTGAACATGGGAATCAGGAACAGTGCTATCCGGCCGTCGACACCGGCCCCTCTGCCTGAGCCTTTGACACGGAAGGCAGGCGTCGGCATCCCCCGGCCCCGTGTCAGGCCTCTGCCCCTCTCCCCAGCATGGAGGAATGCGAGGCCTTGTGCACCCGGCTGGCCATCATGGTGCAGGGTCAGTTCAAGTGCCTGGGCAGCCCACAGCACCTCAAGAGCAAGTTTGGCAGCGGCTACTCCCTGCGGGCCAAGGTCCAGAGTGACGGGCAGCAGGAGGCGCTGGAGGAGTTCAAGGCGTTTGTGAACCTGACCTTCCCAGGTGAGGGCCACTGCACAGAGGGCATCTGTGCCTCACCCCTGCCGAGTCCCCCATCCCTGGCCCCTGGGAAGAGGGCCGTGATTCCATGGTCCCAGGCCCTCCAGCCTGGCCTTCATGGGGACATGGTGTCTTCTTCATGCAGGCAGCATCCTGGAAAATGAGCACCAAGGGATGGTCCATTACCACCTGCCCAGGGATGACCTCAGCTGGGCCAAGGTGAGTGTACCTGCCCATCAGAGGGAGCAAACCTGTGATGTCACCGGCTTTCTGGGGTGACTTGTTTTCTTTTCTGCGTGAAAGATGCATTAAAAGCATCTCCTCTCTGCCAACCCCATGACAACATTCACGTGGATTTCATAAAACATAAGGATGTGTGCATGGGAAGGGGTCTCTGAGATCAGCTCCTCTTGCCCCCTCATTTCATAGAGAGGGAAGACGGTCCAGAGAGGGGACACCACATGCCCAGGGTCCCACAGCAAGCCAGAGATCCAGCTGGGGCTTCTGCCTGCTGGCACCATTCCCAGCCAGAGCCTTTCCCTGAGATCACAGACAGCTAACTTCCCTAGGACTGACTTCTTGGGAGGTGCTCTGGGCACAACTGAAAAAGAGATGGGTCTTTTGGGGGCTTCATCACACCCAAGACCCTCCCTCTTTCCACTCTCTGCTGCCTCCTCTCCCCTCCCTTGTGCCCCCTGTCCACAGTGGCCTCCTCCTTCCCAACAGGTATTTGACATTCTGGAGCAAGCCAAGATGAAGTTCATGCTGGACGACTACTCTCTCAACCAAGTCTCCCTGGAGGACATTTTCCTGAACTTTACCTGCTCTGTGCACCCAACCAAAGAGGAACACAAACAAGGGCAAGCAGAGCCAGCAGACTATTCATCAACCTCTCCACCTCCCTCCCAGCCTCCCTCTCCACTTTTCTCCCAGCCTCTCTCTCCACCTCCCTCCCAGCGTCCCTCTCTACTTTCCTCCCAGTCTCCGTCTCCTCTTCCCTCCCAGCCTCCTGCCCAGCCTCCCTCTCCACCTCCCTCCCAACCTCCCTCTCTACTTTCCTCCCAGTTTCCCTCTCCTCTTCCCTCCTAGCCTCCCTCTCCACTTGCGTCCTGGCCTCCCTCTCCAGCTGGCTCTCCTCCTCCCTCCCAGCCTCCCTCACCACTTCCCTCAGACATTTACTTGCTGTAATAAAGAGTGCAAAACCTGCCATAGGCTGCAAGGAGTACAAAGGCAGCCTGTAGACCCAGTGAACTCAGTTCAGAGACTGGGTGGCTCTCTGCCAGATTGGGCCCTCTCACCTTAGAGGCCTGGTGGAGAACCTAGTTCCATTTCAGTGGAAAAGGATCCCCTTGAGTCCCGCCTGGGTGGCTCCATGGCCTCATTGAGACCTGGCTGTGGAAGCAGCCTCAGAGAAACACCTGCCATGTCCTCTCAAGGTGTAGTGGCTTGGGGGTGACCATGGTTCTCATGATACTGTCCTTCTGAAGGCAAGAGAAAAGAGATTGATGAGTTTGCTAACCTGAGTCTCAATTTTTCAGTGTTTTAGTATTTCAGTATTTGGATTTGTGAGTCTCCATTTGTTCTCTGCCCACCCCCCCCGCCCCCACCCCAGTCCTTACAAATCTTAGGAGTGAGCCTGCATGTGACAGTACATCAACCCATGAAGTATTATTCAGATGAGTAACCTGAAACTTAAGAGACATTCATCAACTTTCACAGTCAACAGGGAGTGGAGCCAAGATTCAACTCACGTAGAGGTTCTCAAAGTGGGGTTCCTAAGCAGCAGCCAGAAACATGCTAGAAATTTCATCCAGAAACATGCTAGAAATTCAGATTCTTGGGCCCCACCCCAGACCTCCTGAACTGAAAATATTTGGGGTGAGACCCAGCAATCTGTGTTGTAAGGACCCCACATTAACAAGTACTTCTGATGCAGCTCAGGCATGAGAACTACAGAGGGCAGGGCTGTGTGCTCCAGGCCACAGCACGGGCCAGCCTCTGTGCACAGATGGATGTGGCTGCTCACCTTTGTCACAAGCACCCTCCTCTGGCGCATGCCCTGTCAGAGCCTTGCTCCAGCGTGCTCACGCCAGTCCCTTCTAAAAAGCCCCCTCTGCTCCTCCTTTGCAGGTAGTTCTCTCCCTCTTTTCCCAGCCAAGCTCCAGGAAAGTTGGTGTCTCCTGACCCTGACCAAACATCCTACCTGCCATCACCCCTCACCCAAAATTACAGCACTGCTCCACCCTTGGCTGCCACACGGCGGGTCTCTCCATCCTCTCTCCCTGTGCCTGCTCTGTGGCATTTCAGAGTCCTTCCCACAGCCTTTCTCCCTCACTCCCGCCTCTGTGCCCTGCTGTCCTTGAATCTTTCTCATTCACCCCCCACCCCATGTCTTCAACTGCCATCTTCCTCCAGCTGGGAACTTCCCCGACCCGACAGTCTCGAATTTTCCAGTGAGTTCTCACCCTCCTGCGTGGGTGTGTCCAGTGGGAAATGGGCTCTTCTCACCCTCTGGGAGTGGCTTGTTACCCTACGGGGCCCCCAGGGCTCTTCCTGCCAGGGCGATGGATGCAGGCAAGGGCCCACAGCATGGCCAAGAGAAGAACACTGGTTTTCTGAAAAATAAGAATACTTTACCTGCGAATAAAGGAAAAACGATGAGGACACAAAGAACCGGGGAGAGGACAGCTGAGGGACTTAAGAGAGCAACATGCTATTTTGGGCTCCCCAGGGGAGTGGGTGTGGTGACAAAGGTGCTACTGGAGTCCAGGCTGGAATGGCACACTTGTGCCCTGGGGGAGATCAGCAACAAAGTCACAGTGCACGGGAGGAGGAGGACAACACAGTAACAAAGCGGAGAACAGTAACCAAAGGTGTGAGGAAGGAGGAGAAACTGCAGAGTCCACCCTGGGTTCCTCCTCGTGCTTCTGGGTGGAACATGGGCCACCTGGGGAGCAGCCCCAAGCCCGCTGGGCTCCATCCACTCTGTTTCCTGTGCGCCCCACCTCGGCCCCTCCTTCAACCCCAAGCCCAGGGCCTGGTCCCTGGCCTCTTTAACAAGGGGCCTCTCACGCCCCGTGTGTGGCCGTCCGTGTACTTCTGTTTCCTGCTGCAGAATGGCAGTGTGGCTCTCGCGTGTGCGCCCGGCTGCCCAGAAGGGACCGACGACCCTGAGGACCAGGCCGGAGGGGAAGGGAGGGCTGACTGGGGGCGCGCAGGGGTGAGGAGAGCGTCTCCGGGAAAACTACCGTGTCCTCCTCCGTCCAGCGCTTCTCCCGTGAAAGACGGGCCGGAGGGCACTGCCCAGTCCCTGACGGACACCGTGCTTGGGGTGGCTGGGGGCAGCCAGTGAAGTAGGCTCCTGGCGGGGCAGTGAGGATACAGCGGGGACACACAGGGGCGACGTCCTGCCCGCGGGACGCCTGAGACACGATTCGCGGGAAGAAGGCGCCGGCCGAGTCCCTGAAGGGGCTGCGTTCCGGTCCACGCCCCCCGTGGCTCGGCCGCCCGAGCAGCGGTGTCCTCGCCTGACGCGCGGGCGGGAGGCTGGGCGCGCGGCCTCGGGGTGAGGGCCAGGGGCGCGGTGGGTGCGCAAAGGCCTCCGCGGACGCCGCTCGCCGGGACCCGCGCCGCCGGAACAGCGGGGCCCAAGCGCACACACAGACGCCCCCACCAACCCGGCAGACGCCGCGCTCCCCCGGGGACCCCTCCCGCCCCGGCCGGGGGGGCGGGGCAACCGCTCGGACTCCACCAATCAACGGCCGGCGTTCGAATTCGCGTCCTGGCGTGGCCAATCGCGAGCTCCCGGCGCGGGCGGGAGGGCGGGACCGGGGCCGGGGCCGGGCGGCCGGGCGGCTCGCGCCCCCCCCCAGCCGGCCAATGGGAGGGCCGGGCGCATTTGAAAACTCAGGCGGGCGGTGGGGCGGATTTGCGCCTGCGCGGGGCGCGTGGGGCTGACGGCGGTCGGGGGCGCGGGCGGCGGAGTCGGCGGCGGCGATGGGGAGCGGCGGTGGTGAGTGCGGGGCGCGGGCGGCGGGTGAACACCGAGCTGGGCGGCCCGGGCTCTTCGGCCCCGCGTGCGGGGCGTCCCGGCGGCGCCCGCCCGGCGCGCGGTTTAAATGCCCGGTGGCGCCGCGGGTGCGGGTGGGCTTGGCGTGAACGCCCCGCGCGGGGCCCGGCACCTGTCGCGGGCGGCGAGTACCGCGTCCGGCCTAGAGCGAGGGGACGAGCACAGTGTGGCGGTCACATCCAGGTACTCTGTGGGCCTCGGTTGCCCCGCGCGGCCCGTTAATTGGTGGTAGGCGACTCCTGTAAGGAGCCGGGCAGGGTAGGAAGGCCTGCGGAGGGGGTCCTGCGGGCGGGCGGCGGGGACGAGCGGGGAGGAAGCCAAGTGAGCGGCGCGAGGGGCTCCTGCTGAGTCGTTCTGGTGCGAGTAGGAGCGGAGATGGGCAGGGGTCCGAGGGCAGAACCGTCATCCGCGTTCGCCGCTCTTGCCCCAGTAGCCAAGTTCCATGATCACCTGCTATTCGCCGTAAGTATTTACTGGATCTTTGAATGAATGATGGTGTCTGCCGGAATTCCCGGACCACTACTCCCTTTATTTAATCTTTGTGTGGGACTAGAAATGCGGCCGGTTCCTTCTGTGGGGAAGGCACAGTGACTGTTCCGTCGTCTTCAGATACAACTTTGCACGTCAGCCCAGCTTCTTTCCTAACATCACCGAGACCATTCTGCTGTTCTTTTTCAGTGATCCACTGTCGGTGTGCCAAGTGTTTCTGTTACCCTACAAAGCGAAGAATAAGGAGGAGACCCCGAAACCTAACCATCTTGAGCCTCCCTGAAGATGTGCTCTTTCATATCCTGAAATGGCTTTCTGTCGGGGACATCCTGGCTGTCCGAGCTGTAAGTTGCCAGATGAAAGTGCGTCAGCCCTGTAGCTTGTTGACCTAACTTGTTGGTTTTCCCATCACTGTTTCGTGTTCTTAAATGTGAGAATAAAATTTTGGCTATGAAAGAGGGCAGAGGCTACAAGGATGATGTTGTTACTAGATGTTTGAGGTTGTTGCGATCAAAGCTGAAACATAGTGCGGTATGTTTTGAGTCTGTTGCGATGTCTGACAGAGAAAGTACCCTGTTGTGGCAGTGAAATTCTCACCTCTTAAGAAACAAGATAGTATATTAGGGAAAACAAAAACACATTCTCGAGGACAGATTGCATGTAATGTCGAGCCCTAAAAGGGACCCTGGGAGTTAGTTTGCAGATATTCAACTGCACCTTCGTTCAGAGTGACTTACTCAAGGGCATACAGCAAATTGGTGGGAAAACTCCAACAGGAACTTGTTTCTCTGACTCCCAGAGCCGCCTCCATTGTGGTCGTAATATCCATGGGTGCTGAGTTTTCAATGGCAATGGGAACTTTAGCCCTTGAAATACTCACCTGTGCTCAGGGCTCCCAGCTGGGGCACTCCTGCCTCTGACCAGGATGATATTGAGTTTATTGGTCTTTTTCTAGAGCCTCTGTTGACCTCCAGACTCCAGCCGTTTTCCCACTAGCAAGGACCTAGGTAGAGGAGCACAAGATAAAATTCTGTTCTACTTGCTCCTGTTAGAGTCCGTTTCCCCGATCATTATAGGGTATACACCCTTACAGGGGTGTCACCCCCTCTTTCTCAAGGTGGATGCTTATTTTGCCTTCTGGCACCACTGTCCCCACCTTTAGAGCCTCCGAGAAACTTGTTTCTTCCCTCTCTCAAAGCAGCTATTACTTTGATACACAGGGGGCCTTTCCCCCTGGCGTGGGTTGGGAGACAGGAGGCCCTCCATCCGTCTATGTCCCATGTTCAAGGGCTCCAGGTGTGGGGCTTCTGGGAGGTCCCTTGATAATGCACCCCCCCCGCTTCCGTTGTTCTGCAGGTGCACTCCCACCTGAAGTACCTGGTGGACAACCATGCCAGCGTGTGGGCATGTGCCAGCTTCCAGGAGCTGTGGCCTTCTCCAAGGAACCTGAAGCTCTTTGAAAGGTATCTGCACCTGACAACAGCTCCATTTTCTCCCATCTCTGGGCCTCCCTGTTATGCCAGCCTGTGTCCCCAACGCCTGACCTGGGCGTGTTTTTCCTCTTGTGGTTGCCCTCGCCCACGTCTCACCCCCCAGGGAGTGACTGAGGGCTGTCAGCGTCACCTGTGGAGTCACATGAAGCACAGTCATTGGCCATCCATGCCACCAGCCCAGCCGGACTCATTAGTCACTGTCATGCTTCGAAGGGTCTCATGGGCTGGGACCATTCTGCGTGACTCAAACGCAGGTCACCTGCCTGTGGAAATTTTACTCAGCCCTCTTTATTTTTTTGGTCAAAAGTGTGTGATTTCACTCCTGTGAAATTTTTTTTTTTTTTTTTTTGGTCAAAAGTGTTGCGTTTCACTCCCTGGTTGATGCTGTCCTCCTGCTGGGATTGGGACGCAGAGGGGGGGGTCAGAGGAGGTGTGAGCCCCTCGGCCTGGGGGCCCCAGCGTGCTGGTGACTAGACCTATCTATCATCCACGTGTGCCGGTGGCTCCAGACAGGCCACCTGAGACCTAAGCCACATACCATACGATGCCTCTGTTTAAGGTACTCAGTGGTTTTTCGTAGATTCACGCAGTTGTGCAACCATCACCACTCCCTTGAGAACATCCTCATTACCCCACGGGCAAAGCCAGAGTGAATAGGGGTTGACGTCAGTGCTCACTCCCTATTTTCCCTGCAGTCCCCCAGCCCCTGGCAGCTCCAGATCTGCCCACTTGTACGTGGATTTGCCTGCTGTGGACATTTCATATAAGGGGAATCTTACAGCGTGTGGCCTTTTGTGGCTGAGTTCTTTTGTTTGGCACGTCTTTAAGGTTCATCCATGTTGTCATGTGTCATTGGATGAGTGGTATTTGCGTTGCCTGAAAAATCCTCAGTTAAGAAACAAGAGTTCTAGCTTCAGGTGGTGTGGCGGGACAGAACCTTCATGGGACAACACAGGTGACACTGTGTGTTTTTAATGGTCTAGGGCTGCTGAAAAGGGAAATTTTGAAGCTGCCGTGAAGCTGGGTATAGCCTACCTCTACAATGAAGGCCGTAAGTCCTCACGGGGCTGGGGCTGGCCTCGCCCTGCTCGGTGCTGACCTAGTAGAACAGGCATGAGCCCTTCTCCATGGGAGCCGTTCAGCCCTTATTCTTGCCGGGTCCAGCCGTGGGCCTCTCCCCTCAGCAGTGTGTACCCACAGGGGCCCTGCTATGGGACCCACTGGTGATCTTTGGGTCCGTACGCTTTAATTATTTTAACAAACCTTGTTTTGACGAATGCTTTAATTCCACCAGCAGAGACTCAGAATGGGGGGGCTACTCAGACAAACAGGGCTCCTCCACCAGCAGCGCCCCACTCCATCCAATGAATGCCACAGCCCATGTAGGTGCTGGCCCCTCTCCATCCTTGGCCATAGTTCCTCCCTGGAACTCTGGGGCAGCAATCAAAGGGTGCCTAATTCTATGGGGTGTTAATAACACAGTAGCCACGGCTCCAGTGGGAGGCAGGTACAAGTAGGTCAAAGCTGGCCTGTGCCTGAACGCCTTCACCCCCCAAGGAACAGGTGCTCCTTGAGAGAACCCATGTGGCCTTCTCCTCTCCAGTGCCTGCCCCTTTGCTTAGCACACAGAACCAACCTGCAGGGTGTCCAGTCCCAGCCCCCAAAATGCATAAAGACTGGGGATAGCTGCTATGCTTCTGCTTCTGAAAGATCTGGCATCTTGCTGGGAAAGCCCCTGCTCATAGCTGGTTGGGATTGTTGAGACCCATAGAGACGGTGGGTGGTCCTGCACCTCGTGCGGTCCCCCTTCAGACAGCGGTTCCCAGACAGGATTCACGTACCATCCAACTCACCCATCTAAAGTGCACAAGCCAGCAGTTCGTAGTATCTTCACAGAGTGGTGTAGCCATTACCACCGGTCCAGGTTTGGAACATTAGCCCAAAAGGAAATAGTACCCACTAGCAAGGGTTTGGGCTGTAGCTCCCAGCAGGAGGGAGGGTGTGTGTGCTACCTCCACGGGGACACCTTCCCAGACCTTCAGAACCTAGGCTACTGTCAGGGACACATGATTCACAAGGTAGGGAAGAAAGGGAGGAGCCCCCGTCTTGGAGGGTTCTGCTCTCTTTAAATACCAGCAATGTTGCGCTGCGGCAGGCGTAAGATTGTAGCCTTTGAAGAAAGCCCACGGAGAACTCTGTGCACCTATCTTTCGGAGACATCCCGAGTAACATTCTGTCCGTGTCCGCAGTGTCTGTGTCTGATGAAGCACGTGCAGAAGTGAACGGCCTGAAGGCTTCTCA